ACGACTGGTTGGGAAACGTTGAATGTACCAGACGTGGGAGGGGTGTCTTGCTTCCTCGCGTGTGCGTGTGCTTGTGTGTATACACCCCCCAGCTTTCCATATTATTCCCGTGTGTGCCAGGAGCCGACCGGGCTCGCCACAGGCAGTCAGGGATTCCGACAGCCGCGCCAAGGAAACGGGGCTGGCTTGGGATGGTATCAGAGCCAGGAGACCTGTTGAATAGCCTCCAGGCTAGGCCAGGCACAGCTGCAGAATAGACCGGACTCCTGGACTGGGCCTTGAGTCACAATTTCTTTGTAGATTTGATTTCCTGCGTGTTCAATGTGCGTGTTGAGAGTTCTGCTTAGCAGGCCACGGACACCTCAGAGAAACCGTTTTAGACGCTGCTTGCGCTGGGAGGCAGGGTCTCAAAAGCACATGTGCAAAGCTGCAAATGTCCTCTTGGGTGCTTGCACGTGCAGTTCAGCGTGTGGGAGTAAAATCCAGGGGCTGCATTTGTGCAGGGGAGTTCGTGGATATGAAAGTCTGGGCATGCAAAAAAGAAAAAAAAATCTCATGACTCTCTTCGCTGGAGAACGAGCAGCTAGCCCGGGGATATGGTGGTCTATCAGTTGTGTGCCCCCAGAGGCGACGCATGGCCGCGGGCGTCCTGTGGGGTCATGTTTCCCCCTTGTCCCGAGCATGAGCAGTGACATCTACTGAAGCTGCTTCCCTCACTCTATTAGCAGGGTTGGGTGGTCTCTCTTACACAGAGAGAATTCACTTTATCTGTCTAGGCCAGTGATGTTGCTTCTGGCTGAGACCCCCGGCCTGTCCAGCCAGATCTATTTAGCAAACGGCAACCGCAATAAAATCCCGACCTGCTTAAAATGCACCGAAATCCAGCAACGATCTCCTCGAACGGGGCGATGGCTCTGCAGTGGTGGGCGCTGCCTGAAGCCCTGCGCTGGCCCCCAGGCCTGGCTTGAGCATGTCTCCACTGCAACAAGCCGCCTGCACTGACCGGGCTCAAACTGGGGGGCCACAAAGCTTCAGCATAGACACTCGGGCTGGGCCCCGGCTCTGTTCGGTCGTTTCTAGTCTGAGCTGCTGCTGCATGTAAATTCCTATGCTCCATCCTTGTCCCTTCAGCTAAAACCACTCGGGCCTTGATTCTGCCCCACCTATTTCCTGGTTGTGTCTGGGAGCGACTAGCGATTCCAGTCTAGTGCAAAAGGCCCGTTTGCCTCTCCTTGTTCTGCTGGTTTGTGCTGATTTAAGGGCCCGGCCCTCTTCCTTGCACCTGCAATGTGTGTGGTGGGAACCGTGCTCCTGCCTCACCCAGCCTGCGCTGATTCAGCGGCGCCCGTCTCTGAGGACAGCAGGGGAGAAGAGCTGCTATGTCAGTAGCAAGCGCCGAGAAATCCCCTTTCAGAAAAGGGCCCTCGGGAACACACAGGCAGAGACGGGGACAGAACTGACCAGAGCGATGCAGCTTGTTCTCTCGCCACGTCAGACCGTTCTGACTCCCTGTGTCGGACTCTCCTGCCAAGCTTACCCAGGGGAGGGCTGGGCTGGTGAACGAACTAATTACAGAACCGTGAGTCGGGAGATCTGGGCTCTGTTCCCAGCTTTGCTAGTGACTTCCCGGCCTTGGGCACATCCCTTCACTTCTCTGGGCCTCTGTCTGTCCCTCTGCAAAACGGGAGGGTGACTCACTCCAGCAATCTGGTGCCCGATGTCGTTTGGGAATCGCGAGCAGAGTAGAGCGGAGATGCTTGTGGAGATGCCAGTGTGGATGGACCGAGCACTCGGAAGCCATGAGCTCTACTGCCGCCTCTCAGCAAGCGGCGCGCCCCATGTGGGCACAGCGCTTGCATCGGGCATCCGTGGAAAATCATTCCCGTGTGCGGCATGAGGTTCGGCTCCGGCTCTGGGCATGCCGTGCTGGAGCCGACACTCCGGCAGCTCTAGGCTTCGTGTTGGAACAAGCAGCCTCCAGCAACACGCCACAGACCCTGGCTTGCGCCCTGCGAGGGTAAGGAGTCAGAGGAGAGGAGTTAAGCAGAGTTGCTCAGAAAGGCCCCAGCCAAGGAGCGGGGACCAACGTGCCGTCTGCTGCTGAAGGCGCCATCTTTTGCATGAGACAATAAAACGAGGCCGTTGCTGCCATGGGGGCAGGGCAGCTGCCCGTGTCCCTCCCCCGTGGTCCACCACAGGCACCGCCCGTTTTAGGCTTCTGGCTGCCAGTGGTCACCTCATGTCTCATCCCGTCTGGCCCGGCGTTTACTGCCAGGGATATCCAGCAAGCCAGGCTCTGTGATCGTTTGCTCTCCGACGCCTGGGCCCAGTGCGCTGCCAGCAACTGCAACACCATCTGCCTCCTCTTCAGGGTTCATTGCAGAGAGCTCGTTTTAAAGCAAGAAAAGTTCCTACACGTTGGCTAAAAGCTCATCCCAGAGAGCACCCAAATCCACTACTGACTTCCCCCATCTCAGATCCCGGATGAGAGCAAGGGCTGGGTGGATCCAGCTGCATGAAGAAACCGCTGAGCCTTTGACCTTGGCTTTTTGTTACCGGCTCTCCCCAAGGCGTAGCTTCAGAAGGCTGGGTGTTCGCAGGGCCCGAGTTGGGGAATTTGCATTAGCTCCTCCCTCGAGATTCCCTGGGAAAAGCACTTCTCATTTTCTGTCCCCACCATCCACGTTCGACCAGCACGTTTTCAATATAGCCTTTTGCGCGCCTAGGTTTTATATCTGCCACGTCTCCCCCGAGAGAGGTTCCGTAGAATACCAGCCCACAGTAACACAGGTTAGGAAATTGCCACCTGCCATTAAAAGCCCTTTAGTACAATCCCTTGCAAAGGGACGTTAGTCATATGAGCCCTCAGACCAAGCCAGATTCCAGCGTGGATGACTCGCCGTACCATTCCAGAGTTCTTCTGCAGTGGATGTGACGGCATCTTCACTTCCTGTCCTGAAGCGCTTGCGTCAAGGTGCTGCGTCCCCAAAACTGGCTGCATTTTAGTGTTGGACAATGTGTACACTTGTTTGTAAAGCGATAAGCTAGTGCATGGGATCTGTCCCTGTCCAAGAGGAGGAAGCTAAAATGAAAGCCGACACTAAGATCGTTTTTATTCTCCACCCGCCCTGTCCCGTTGTGACTGTGGCTGCCTACGCCCCCTGCTTTTGCATAGATCTACTCGCTGGTAAAGAGGGTGGGAACTAAATCAAAGTCCTGGTTGGCGAGTGAAGTGTTAAAGGAGGACGCTATGAAGGACGTCAAAGAGATTCTTATGTTTGCGCAGCCAGAAATCCAGAGCCCCGAGTGAAGTTTAGAAAAATATTTATCTGTGTTACCAAGAAAAATCGCCCTTCTGCCTCCTGCAAGCGTCTCGGCAACGTGTCCTGGAGATGCTGCGGTCGCGCGCCCTTCCTCCGGCACGGCAGGAATTAGACAGACGAGAAGTGTTTCTCCTGCAGGGGCTCTGAACGTAGAGCGGGGGTCAACAGACTGGCCTAAGACTCTGGGGCTGCCTGGCTTTGAATCCAAATGTACACGCTGCGGCTGGCCCCTCGCTCTGTTGGAAACGCACGGGGCTGGCTTTGGTGGCACTCGCTGCAGCGAACGTCGGCCTGGTTAGACTCTGAGCAAGAGCAGGGACGTTCCTTGCCTCTTCCATTTGGCACGAGGAAGAATCGTCAAGCCATGCTTCCTTCTTCTCTCCTCGGGGGAGCAGGAGTCAATGGCAAACTCCTGGCATTTGGGGCCCAAGGACTCTTCTGTGGTACAAGATGCTACAGACGAACCAGCATCAGGTTCTGAAACGCCCCCTCTGTTCCTCCTGCTCCGGAACGACTCGGCCGTGCCCGGAGCCCCACATGGGTGCTGCAGAGCGTTTTTCCCTACGATTGGCCAGTTTCTCAGGACACTTCCCCTGGAAGATACAGTCCCCGCTGCGCGCGAGGCCTCCACTTGTGGCCTGTTGTCTGCACGCGGCACTTAGCGCCCGTCAATGCTCGGTAGTTTAGTCTGATCCGTGTCGCCTTGAGAGACTCAGCGTTTGCTTAGACTCCTGCTGTGCCCTTCTGCTCTCGCCGCAGCGTCCCCTCTGCACGGGAATCTAGGTGGACGGCTGGGCGTGAGGATGTACTGGCCTTGCTGCGGCAGCCTCACGTGCTTTGAAAGATGTTGGAGAGCAGGGCTGCCGTGACGCCAGGGTTTGAGAAAACACCTCTGCAGACCTTGCGGGAGGGGGGGCGGCCCCCTCCTTAGAGTAGTTGGTGGGCGCGTTAGAACACGTGGGCTAGGTATCCATTTACCGTGGGCTGGAGTCCACTTAAGAGCTGGCTAATGCCCAATCCACCCTCTCTTCACAGCCGGGCTCCCCGCTGAAAGAGCGAACGCTCGTAGCAAGCAAGGGGTAGAGCAGCCGATTGCCGAGGCTTCCCCCGGGAGTGTCAGGAGCTCTCCGGGGAGACGGCCTGGCTCCACGTTGAGGATCACGGTGCGGGACAGGAGCACGATCTGACGTGTAGAGGAAGACCTGGATCAAAACACCTGGGCTCTCCTGGGCTGGTCATCGCTTTGCTGAGTAGCCAGTAGGAAGTGACAGAGGCGCTCCACCCCCATCCAGGTGAAACTGGGGGTAGTTGTCTGCATTTCAGTGGGGCTTGAAGTGCTTTCAGGCCCTCTGACGAAGCGACCAGGAGTATAAATTGCTGCTGTGCTGGGCGTTGTGTGCGCGTTGCCCTCACAGCTTGAGCTCCTTCCTTTGGGCGCTGGAAGGGGACACGTCTCCGTGCTGGCTGTAGCCACAGCAGCCTGAGCGGGGCAGGAGCCAGCTGCCCCAAGTACCTCCCATGTGCTGGGTGACTAGCCCCCGCCTGCCAGTGCACTCAGTGGAACTGGGGATGTGTTCTTGCGCTGGAAGCGACACCGCCCGCCCAGCACAAACGGGCTCCGTGTTGTGTGGACAGCGCGGGGCCGGCATGTTTCAGAGTTGTGGGGATTGCCATGTTACACTCAAAAATGTACAGGAGTGGTCCTGCAGCACCTTAGAGACTCGCCAGGAAATACAGACAGTAGCGTAGCAGGAGCTTTCGTGGGCACAACCCTCTTCTTCACAAGGGCGTGCGTGGGTGGTGCCCACGAAAGCGCCTGCTACTGTCTGTGTTTGTGGTGAGTTCACGGGCTGAGCAGGTGCAGAATGACTGGGGAGTGTGCTCTGGCCACTCGGAGGCCCACTGGCACTGTTTGCATGGAAGCGGGACTTGGCTGCTGAAACAACAAATGGTCCTACAGCACCTTGGAGACCAACAGAAACGTAGATAGTGTCATGAGCTTTCATGGGCACAACCCGCTTCTTCGGATGACTGGAGCAAGGGCTGATGGTAATATCCCTGTGGCTGTCGCTGGGGGGAGATGGAGAGGGGGTGAAAGCCCAGGCTGGCCCGCGGAGGCACAGCACGAGACCAGGGCTACTAGAGCAGCACAGAGCTGCGAGAATCAGAGATGCCTTGAGGCAGCAATTTGAAAGTCAGCGCAACTTGTTGCCATGCACAGGAGGGCAGTGGCTGTGTTGCTAGGGGGTTACTGATTGGTCTGTGCGCTGCACTTAGGGCTACAGTGACTGGAGATTTGCTGGGGAATGCTTGCTCGCTCGCTCGCTTTCATGGCATGAACTAAAGATTGCTTTGAAACATGCATTTCATGTATTAAACCCAGTAAAATAGGACACGTGAAGCGTGCAACGTCTGCACTGGGTGGGAGATAGGGAGGGAGGCAGGCCCCGGTCTGCATACGTCCAAAGTTAATACGCAGCTGTGCTGAACTGTGCAAGGGGGACTGTGGTTCATCAGGGCTAAACTGCACGCGGATGGGCGCTGAGTGCAGCAGGAGTGGAGGTTGGCTGGGCAGGTGTGGAGTGCGGCGAATGGCACCTGGAGACAGGGTGGTGTCGTCAGTGATGCGCACGCGTGTGTGTATTGAAAACACTTTTGGGAACTGGTCCATGGGCAGTGCTGGCAGTGCCTCCAGTGTGTCCACATGCTGCTCCGTGATGCTTAGGTGCTGCTGTGCACTCTCCCTCCCCTCCCGCCTGCCGCTCGTCCCTCCCCTCCCGCTCGTCCTTCCCCTCCTGCAATTTTTTGTGTTTGGTGTCAGTGTTACTCCGGGCATTTCACAAAAACTCTCTCGTCTTTCTCGGGTGCTTCCCGGCCCTTTTCAGACTCTCTCTGCAGCAGTTAGAACCTAGATGGGCATTGCAAGGCCCGCTCTACCAAGCCCAACTCGCAATGTTACAAAAGGTCGTTTTTACACTAGACCTGTGTTTCTCAAAGTGACTGCAGGCCGCTTTGAGAGCTACTAATGGGCCACTCCCGCTTGTTTACTTAGCAGCTCTGTAGCCAGGGAGCCTCCGAGAGGCGCTGAGAACACCGCGCATCGACGCACAAACAGGAAGGAGACTTTCGCATTCCTTTGGAAATGCGAAGGGCGGGCCCGAGGGCTGGTCACCTGAGCAGGGCTGTAGAGTTTGAGCTGAGAGGTAAGAAAAGGCATTGTGGGAAGGGTGTTGGGGGCCAGTCAGGACGCAGAACGACACCATGGGGTCCACGCTGGCGCCTCTGCACTGTATCCAGAGGTGGTTTCCCTGGAGCGTGCTGCCTGCAGAGCTAGTGCGCACCAAGCACATTCCCCGTGTGGACACCATGGAAGCTACAGCGCAGGGGCGGATTAACTGCACAATAGCTGGCCAGTGCAGACTTGGCCTAAGTCTTGTTTGTCAAGTACCAATTGTCATCTCTGGATGCTCGGTTTAATGCTTCTCCTGTGTCCAGTCACCACTTACAAATGAGTGTCGGGCTGGACAAGAGAAGCAGTGTTGTAAAGGGGCTTTTTAATTAAAAAGTGTTGAAAATAAGAGAAACCCTCTAACATTCCTTTCGGGAGTATGCTGCATAATTGCTTCCAGGCCTCTGCTGACGTCTGATCCATCATCCCGGCGTAGCACGTAAAGAGGCAGTTTTGTTTAAAGGTTATGGGCTCTAGGTAAATTTTTAAAGAATTAATCATTTTTAGGCTGAAACAATGAAGTAACTCAACTCTCTGGCAACACAAGCCTTAGAGCAAACTGTGTCTGGTACATGGGAGTCTCTTATTGTGTGTAGAGTGCCGTGATCTCAGCTGGGCCTTCCGGGCTTTCCTCCTGATAGACTGACTAAACAGCATGGACTCACGCAGGAGGAAGGGGAAGTGTGTGGTTCAGTGCTTTAGACAGAAGCAGGGAACTGGGAATCTTTTGTTCCAATCCTGGTTGTGACATTGACTCCCTCCGTGGCCTTGGGCAAGTCAATGGAGCCCAGGCTTTCAGAAGTGGTCTTTTTTTGATGCCTCCTGGTTTTGGGAGCCCGGTTTCTGGCCCGATGCCTTTTTTTAACTGTGAGGCTCCCATTGGCTCTAGGGACAATGGAGGACACTCGGGCACCACACACTGAGTCTGCAGAGGTGCTGAGTGGAGCCTTTTCCATGACAACCTCCATCTACCATACAGGCTCCCAGGAATCCCAGAATGCAGCTGATTGGGCATTCAACACTTCAGAAAGAGAAGAGGGAGCACAGAAGAGCTAGGGAGCTGCAAGTCAGAACAGAAACCACTGAGCACATGCTAAAGCTCCTGGAAGACCAAAATGAGATGCTGAAGTGTCTTATCAAGATGCAGAGTGAAACGCCCCCCGTGATCTGCAACTGCCTGACACACAATGGAGACATGCCCCTTCCGACTGATGTGTTTTGAAGTGCGGTGGGTGGTGCTATAATAGGAATGTGTGAGCCATCGATTGCCCTGCCAATTTGGAAAGCCCGTGTCAGCAAAGCAGCCGCAATACCAGCCACATGTCCCAGAGTCAGAGTGCTGTGTAGTGTCATGTGGTTTCTTTCCCTGTACACTGTAACTGCTGCCCTGATGGCAGACTTCTTCACTCCAGACTGATTTGCAAAGGATCAGCAGCATTTGGGGATCACCAGCTTCCACGGAGCAATGGCAGGATACTTCTCTACCAAGAGAGCAGCCGCATTCCTGTGTCCTCGCGCCGTGGCCCAGGGCCCAGCTCAGCACACACCTCCAGGAAGGTGGCTTTACACATCCAGAAGTTCTGTAGCTGCTGCGCCTCATCCCACCCCTGCGCAACACGGAGATCCCCCGCTCCTTGTCAGTTTTCCTAGCCCAGAAGTGATGCTCTGCTGTGCACAGCTGCTCTGTGCAGCCCAATGCAACGCCACCTCGCTGCTGGCCCTATTGCTCACACGGCAAGGACTGGCATCCAGATGTCGGGAGGGGAAGCGTCTGAAGGCGATGCCTGTCGCTGTGGGATGCTTCCCCACGGTCCTTTCTCGTCGAGCTAATGTGGTATGTCAAGAGAGGGTGGCAGGGTAAACGCGTCTGGTCGACTTTCTTTCTGGCCACTTATGAATGTTGACAATACTTCCATTGTCAAATCTTTCCAGTGTAGATTAAAGCAGCACCCTCTGCTAGCTCCAGTTTGCAAATATTCCTCCGGAGGACTGGGATTTTCAAAGGGACCTAGAAGAATTGGGGGCCCAGCTCTCCATGGATTGTGGGTGCTGAGCTCCTTTTGGAAGTCCTGTCCATAATAACTATTGAACCCAGGAGAGGGGATAGTCAAGCCCTGGCTGGGAGCTAATGCAGCTGAACTAGGGTCAGACGCTGCAGAGCGATTAATCAGTTCGGAGCGAGGAGTCTCAGTGCTTTGCTGGCTCTTGTCCTCTCTCTCTCTCTCTCTCTCTCTCTCTCCGTGTGTGTGTGTGTGTGTCCGTCTGTCCCTCCCTCCCCCCCCGGGGTGTGTGTGTGTGTTTAATGCTGCTTCTGGATGCAGAAACCACCTGTTGTTCAAGATGACGCTCATGCAGTCTCACAAGGAAATGAAGTGCTCCTCAATGCGTGTTTAACAATGGCTAACCCTGGAGGGCTTCATGCCAGAGCCTGACACCCACGTGCTTATGTAAAGGCGTTGGACTGACATCGGGCACACAGTTAATACATAGTTGTATTATTTCCCTGGAGCCATATTTATGCAATAGTCCCTGCAGGAGCCTGGATGTTTTTTTCTCTTTCCCCCAGAGACCCTCCCCAGGTACATCCAGGTGCGTTACTGTATTTCATTGAAGTACATTGTGTTTTAATTTGCCTTAAAACGTGGGCAGCGATCCCAGCTTTTCCAGTGTGTTGGCACGTGTCCCAGGTGGTGTGGGACTGAACAGGCTGAGGCTGGGTGGCCTGTCGGCTTACGGGGAAGAACATGGATTTTGTGATGTCAGTTTTGGAAACCTCTTCCCCTCTGCACTGTTGGAACTTGCCGTGAACACATGTCTGATACCCTCAAGGAAGAGACACCAGGCTGGCACGGGCTCCTTAGCCAGCAGTCCGCGCTGCGGCCAGCGATCGCTGCCTGGGACAGCAGTGGGTTGATGCAGACAGGAGCTGGCAGAGCCATGGTGTGAGCCTGGGGGTGGTTTGGTTTCTAAGGCCTGTTGACTCTCTGGTCGACGTGGTGGTGGCTTGGTGACATGGGCACCTTCCCCCAGGAAACGGGACTTAGATTCACTGATCTCGTTTCGCCTGGGCCACCCAACAGGAACAACTGAGCATGCAGGATGGGAGCTTTCAGTGACTGGCCATTGGTCTGACCTGCTTGAGCGTGTCCCACCGACATCAGTGGGAGCAGGGGAAGCCCCCAAGTCAGCACTTCCCGTGTTCTTCCCAGCCCTGCCAGCGCCCTGCAGCCCAGCTGAGGACAGGCCCCTATTCTCAGCCTCGGGTCCCCCCACCTCCGACGAGGCCATTAACAACCGCCCCATGGAGCTGGCACGATGCATTTGTGGTTCTCCGCGATCCCAGCCCGCTGCTGCTACAGAAGTATAAATATTATTACAGGTAAGAGAGAGACAATGGCTGGTTTGATACCCAGCGGAAGGTCTGGCTATAACGCAGCATTTTAAATAGGGACCGGAGCCAGCTGGCACTCCTGAGCCTTTCCATTATTAGTGTCTGACACAACAACACGCTTTTCTGTCTTAAGTGCTGGTCTGCGTCTCTCCCTGAGCAGCACCTGCCTTTCCCCAGCAGGAAGTCCGCTCCCAGACTCTTGTGGCAACCTGCACACAAACCCTCTGTATTTCTCCACCGCCTCTTCTCTCCTCACCAGGTGCTTCAGGCAGTGGCTGTCTGACTGGTTAGCTCCAACTGAGGTGAGCGAACATGAGCATGTCTGTTCAGCTTGAAATGCTGGGCTGAGGGGAGCAGGGATGCTTTTACAAATGGGGGACTGCACTGAGTTGCTAAAACAACTGACTACTGTAGCTGGAAAGCTGGTTCCAGGGGAAACGTTCCAAGGGCTTAACTCTGTTGCTTCTGTTTGCATCCACCTAATGAACATCTGGAAATCTCCCCACCGTCTGTGGGTAGTAAAGGGGACATTTCAAATAGTGCAGCCCCTAGAACTCCTGTTACATAGCATCTGCCCATCTCCACAGCAGGACCGGATCCAGAGCCCACGGAAGCCGATGGAAAGATTCCTGTTAACTTCAGTGGATTTCGATCTTGTATTACGGGTCAGCGTGGTCCAGAGATTAAGTAGGTGGAAATCAATAGCTGTTAGCCAAGATGGTCAGGAGTGTGTGCCCTGGGGGTCCCTCTGGCCGCTAGGAGTGGGGCTGGCTGACTCCCAATTCAGAAGAACCCTTCCCTGTTTCACAGGATAGAAATTAAGCAGAGAGGTTTCTCTAAGGCACTGGCAGAACCTGGATTAGCCTTCTAGACTTCCTCGCTCCCACTCCTAGGCTCAGAATATTGTGGCTCTCC